AAAAAAAGGCAAATCAATCTGGGCTGCATAAAAGCTGGGTTTTTAAAGGCCCTTTCCACACGCTAATTTGACAACGTATTTTTTCTTTCTGAACAGGATCACTGTTACTATGAAGGTTATGTTCAAAATGATGCTGACTCACTAGCAAGTATCAGCGCGTGCAAAGGTTTAAGGTAAGACAGAGGTTTGGTTCTCAGAGGATAACGGCAGCAGACTGCACATATTGAGGGGAAATTTTCCAATTTACACCTTAAGCTGCATCTAATGCTGTGAAACAATATGGCATCAAAGGCTGAGCTGCCTCGGGGGACAGTAAGTACGTATAAATGGGTATTGTCTTTCATTCATGATTACAAGGAAACTATTTTAGAAAGGAGAGAGAAAGAAAGGAGAAGTTTCATTTCTACTTCAGTTCCAGAGCATATAAACCAGAAGAACACCTAAACAAATAAATGTATACAAATGATTCCACAGTAAATCAGGCGATATAAGCCTAGTGCTTGGAGCTGCTTTCAGTGGGTGTTCAGGGATGGGGCTGACACTTCAGCAGGTCACCTTATTTTCAGTGCATTCACTGCACTGCGCTTTCAGTATTTCAGTTACAGCAGTTATCAAAACTTGCATTTGCTTTTAATATTTCAGCTTTTCACCTCAATTAAAAATGAAACCATATCTTTGATTCCCCACTGAAATTCACTTTTTAATCATCTCTGCCAAACACAAAAATCCTAAACGTGAATTTTGTTCCTAATCCTTTTTGACTGGCAGTCTCCCGCTCAGGGATTCACCTGATCAAGCAGAGCTTCCAATTGCTTCAGCAGCTTTGATTTCTGTGCTCAAGTTATTGGATGCTCTGCCTGAATGCTGCCAAGCCAAACTGCGCTGCAGCAGCACGTCAATGACCCAGTGCTGGATGCTGTTAGATAAAGTGCTGCTATCCCGGTGCTGGCCTAGGGATTCAGAGATCCCAGTCTAACCTAAAGAAAAATTTCACAGCGGATATTTTGAGACCCACGGTCAGAAATACCTTATTGAACCCTTGGGAAGCTCGGATAGAGAAGAACACGCAGTCTATAAATACGAGAAACTTGAAGACAAGTCCATAAAAACGTGCGGGGTCATCAACGGTACCTGGGAACTGGAGGCCCACGACGCCACCGAGACCTTCAAGTCGAGCAACGATCCCGAGGTAAGGACAGCTCGGGAACGCGGCGGGAACCGCAGCGCAGCTGGCACGAGCGCCGCTCGGCCCGGGCACCTGCGGGAGAGCAGCAGGGTGAACAAAACGTGGTCCGAAATAACGGATGGAAACGGGCCAGTGCGCAGAGCTGAGCCCGGCACAGCCTCCGCCTGGGCAAGGCTCTCCCGCACACACATGGGAGAAGATTTCATTCTTTTTAGTAAATAACCTGCGTTGATCATTTCTAAAATGAGACAGTTGCATCCTAAATAGCTTAAAGAAATACCCTGGTAATTAACACAGCTTTGAAATTGAAAGGCTTGAGACTGAACAAGCCCTGAAAAACATTGAAAATACATCTTTTTTTTTTTTAGATGAAAGCATATCTGAAAGCAAAAAAATACCTGGAAGTTTACATAGTTGCAGACAACACCATGGTGAGTATTTAAACAGGTATTTCTCTTTTGACCCTTTAGAGGCGACCTTTCCAAATCCTCATATCCCTGGGCTCCTATTATAGTTTTAGCACTAAGTTCACTTTCTCACAGCCTTGGATTAGAACTGTGATTTCCCAACAGCAAGTGATTTTGAAAATCCCACCTAGAGGTGACAAACTCAGAATAGATGGCACATCACCATCCAGGGATGTTATGGTTCCTTTTCCGGGTGGAAAAAAAAAGTCTTTTGAGATTAAAACACTACTTGCCAGTTGTTTCGTAACCAAGGGGAAATTTCCTATTTACTTTTTCAGTTTAAGAAGTATAACGAAGACGTTAAAGCTGTCAGAGAAAGGATATTTGGAATAGTCAACTTCATCAACATGGTAAGAGCAAACACAGCTAGGTGGAATTCAAACAGAAGCCTTCCTTCTCTTGCAAGATGCGTGCATTAATAAACATAGGAAAGAAGGTCAACTTCCCTGTCATCTGAGAAACAAACCTACCTGCTGGGAAAAGGATCATATTTCTTCAAAAATACTATTGCAATTTTCAAAGTTTTTAAGCCATTTTCATAGCTGGCTTAAACTTGGTGAGAAAGAAGATACCATATTTTGGCTGGTCTGATTTTTTCCTTTTGCAAATGGGAAGTGAAAAAAAGCTTAAACACGGCTTGTAGTGGAGCACATTGCTAGTGACAAACATGGACTAATTAGCAGGATAAGTCTGTGTTTCTGAAGACTTCACAACATGCTGCCTTAGCACAGCAACACTGTTTCGCTCCTGCAGGTTTATAAGGCCATAAATATCCACGTGGCACTAATAGGCCTGGAGATCTGGACGGATAACGACAAGTGTGCCCTGAGCCCCGCGGCGGGGTCCACTCTGGACAGCTTCTCCAAGTGGCGCCGCTCGGATTTGCTGCAAAGGAAGAGGAACGACAACGCGCAGCTGGTCACGTGCGTGTCCTTCTGCCTCCTACCTGCGTGTCCAACCCCTGCAAAACGGGCAACGTGGGCGCTGGTTAAACCCCAGCCTCTCCCTTTCCCCCGTCACAAAACAGTTGAGTGCCCTGAAGGCTGCAGTGCTTTAGTCTTAGCATCAAAGGAGCCACGGCATGAACATTAATGCCTGCAAAACGCAGGCTGCCAAACTAAACCGGCGCTCAGTTCGCTGTTCTGGCTCAAGTGCAACGGCCCTGATTCATCCAGGCACTTTGCTGTGTTCAAGACACTTCATCAAGCAGTTCACACTGAAGCAGGTGCTTCGGTCTCATTAACTGCAGCAGAATACAAGTACACATTTAAAGCAGAATGTGCATTTAATTGCACATTGTTTTCTGATTTGCGGAGATCTTAAGTATATCCTTAAATATGATATTAAGCCAGGGATTGCAAACAAGAGAGGGAAACAATCCTGTTTAAAGCCTTCAGATTTGCTAAAGCTCATGGGGACTTCAGATGTGCCTCCTGATAAGCGATTGCTGCATTTCATTCTGCCTTTCTTCCTTGCAGAGGGTTTGACTTCGAGGGCACCACAGTTGGACTAGCCTTTCTGAAATCCATATGCAGTGATGTATATTCTGCAGGTATTATTCAGGTCTGATTTGTTCTTATTCTGTTTTTTAACAGCTTTTCCTTGTCTTTTAACTCAATCGACAAAGAACATCTAGGAAAACTAGGAAGCATGGGCTGTTTTGAGTTCTCTGTCTGGTTCATATCATTACTTTTGTTAGGCTGTGGAAGTTCAAGGTCAGAGATTGTATTTTAAACCAAATGCAGAAACACAAAGCCTGTGTTTCGCTGTTTAAATGTCAACATGGAACTGGGACCTTGGTGTTTGAAGCACCAGGCTCCTGGGCAGTCGTGGGATAGAGCAGGGGATCCTGTGCTCCCGCTCAGGTTTCTTGCTCCTGGGAAGGGTTCTCCATGCCCTTGGGGAGAAGGCAGGAACACAGTCCTCTCCAGTGGATTTCAGTGCCTCTATTGCAACACAAACAACCCATTGAGCTGTTGATTACAAATAACTACTTGAAGTATAACTTCATTTGAAGTAAAATTGCCCTACTTAACCACCTGGTTTCTCTGATGTTCTCATTTGTTCTAAAATGCTCCTGGAAGTAACCGGCTGCTCTCCTGCCCGCAGGATCACAACAGAAACGAAATTGCGGTTGGAGCCACCATGGCCCACGAGATGGGCCACAACCTGGGCATGAGCCACGACACCAAGGCCTGCACGTGCAGCACCAAGGTCTGCATCATGACGGACACCGTCAGGTAGGCGTCCGCAGGGAAGGGCTTCGGTGCCCTTAACAGGAGGTTAACGAGGGGCTACTCCAACATAAATCCTCCTGCTTTCTCCCTATAGCTCTGTAATCCCCGAGAGGTTCAGCTCGTGCAGCCTCCAAGACTTTGAGAAATACATGTTGAACGACATGCCAAAATGCTTAACTAACGTCCCAGACGTAAGCAACATCGTGGCCCCCTCGATCTGCGGAAACAGCTTTGTGGAAAAGGGGGAAGAGTGCGACTGCGGGACTCCTGAGGTACCTATCCAGGTGAAACCTGGAATAAAGCACATGGCAGAGGGAAAACTCGGGTTGTGCAAGAGCTGGCTTTTCCTAGGACCTGGGGTAGCCAGCTTGAAGCTAGCTGAACAGATTTTATGGAACAGGTTTTGTGGTGACCAAATAGCTGTTCTGCAGCATGGTCAACTGCGTAATCCCTACGCAGAACCGTGGCAGGAGGGAGCAAGTCCCCTGCACCCCTCACACCAGGGCCAAATGCTTCGCGCTCTTCACGAGCTGGCGAGAAGGACCCGAAGGGTTGAAGGAGGAAACGTTTTTGGAAGTGAAAATGTTTTTGGAGGAGCAAGGGGCAGGTCCAGCCTGGCCTTCCCTCCTGACAGCCCCCACGGGCCGGGACATCGGGGCAGCAGGAGGGAGGGGGCCCAAAGGCGCCGCCGGGGCCGTGACCG